TAATAATTCAGAAAAACCACAATAACACCAGCACGCTTTAAAAACAAATGTGTTTAAAAACAGCCAAGAAAGGTGAGCAAAATAACCTGGCCGTCATCCAGTAGGCAGCGTTCCAGAGCAAAAAATAAAGCAGCATGAGGGCAATCAGAGTTCCAATTTGAAACAACAACAGAAAGAAAGAAAAAACAAAAAAAAACAAACCACCAATCTAAAACCATGCCAACGCCTGGAAATATTTAGCCAAGAGGTAAAAAAAATTACAATGTCGACTTGTTTAAGAAGTATTTGTTACTGTATTTATCGTCTTTAACATTTTACCTACTTTACCCACTGTAAAGTCTCAGGGACTAAAAATTATAGTTTTGTTTTTTTTTTTTAAATGTTCTCTGTGATTAATGCAGAGCCACCCGTGAACCAAACAAAATGAAATGAAATGAAATACAGTATAAGAAGGGAAGGAAAAGGGAAGGAAAAGGGGAGGAAAAAAATGGAAGAAGAGGAGCGAAGGAGAGCGACACTCCTGGCGTAATCGAAAAAAGCCCACGTTCAAGTGTCACCTCCTCTTCAATTTGACCCCTTCTGCTGGAAAACAGGAGCAGAATACTGATACGGGGATTATTACACACACACACACACACACAAACACACACAAACACGTGAAAAGGAAAAGTAATGACTTTCTGCTTCATTCTCTCGTTCTCATTTCACTCTGACCTGCCAATTCCCACTGAGCTTCCAGTGAAGGTGCACGTGTGTGTGCATGTGTCTGTACGGGTTTGTGTGTGTGTGTGTGTGTGCATTTGAATGTGACTGTGTATGTTTACCATTGTGTGTCTGTGTGTGTGTGTAGCACACATGCAAAGCAAGGCAGCAGACATGAGGGGAGGTGACACAACATTTCCAATTAGCACAGCTGCTGCTGCTGTTGCCTGAAAAATAGCATCAACTTATACTTTTACACAAACAAAAAGCAGCAAAAGATTGAAGTGCAAACAAGTAGAAAAATAAAGATTTTTTTTACTGTTTGGCTCCTTTCAAAATCGAGGCCAGCGGGCCAAATGTGTCTCGTCAAGCCATTTCACGCATGAGCTTGAAAAAAAGCGTTTAGTTGCCTTATATTAAGAGATGTCCGATAATACCAGACAACCGATATTATCGGCCGATATTAGCATAATTATGTAATGCCGGTGAGAATCGTTATCGGTTTTTTCCTCCGATAATGATCTAGAAATAGTTTTGAAGTGAATGTGAAAGTGAATTGTTGTCATGGTGACACAGCACACCACTGCACATATCGGAATCGGAAATTAAGCGAATGGGCATTATCGGCATATCGGATATCGACAAAATGTTAATATGGGACATCCCTATTTGTAATGTAATAAAGTCCATGCTGCGTGAATTAAAAGGTTAATTTTTGTACAATATTTGTAACTTTAAAATTATGTTTCATTATTCACCATTGGTGATGAGCAAGAAATGAAAAGAAATAAATAACGAATGACATTTCCCTTTTCGAACAAATCGGTTCACTAAGAAATTTTTTAACCAAAGATTGCCCCGGCTGTCGTACCATAACTCTGTTGCCAAACAAGCCAACAATAACAGTGGAAGAGTTGCTACCGATTTTGATCAACAAATAGCCTGCGGCAACAGTATTTCGGAGACAATAATTTGTAAGACATTTTGTGGATTTCGGAGACAATAATTTGTAAGAAAGTGAACATTGCGCAATCACGACTCCCCAGCAACAGTAAAGATAAATCAATATGCCTTTCCTATTTGTAGCTTTATTCTTTATTCAGTTGTGTTTATTTTATTTTATTTTTTTGTTAGATCTAATTATTTTCATTGGTTTCCTGTATGAACTTGTACACAAAATACTGTTGAAAAAGTTTGAATAAGCAGTCATCTGGATTCTGAACTTTTTTTTTTCCGAACTTTTCAGTTCATGAACAAACGATTTAAATTTGAAAACCGAGGTTCCTCTGTAATTTTAAGATGAGTTTAAAAAACACTGCTGCCTTAAAAAAAATATTATTATTACGTGACTTCACTGTTTGAAAGGCATAGTTCAAATTCACCTCAGTGAAACAAAACGACACCCTAAGACTCAGCGGCAGACCAGCATCTCCCACGTCTCCCAAGTCACGGATTTTCTTTAGAACGTTAAAGTGATAAGTGACGACTTGAACGTTCAAGGTTCGGACACGTCCAAAGCAACACAAACGCACGGGCGATGAAGAGGATGGATGTAGAAGGAATGTTTTTAATGTGTGTTTATTATTCTCAACCATTCATTTCATGCTTCAGTGAAGAGCTTTGGTGTGACCTACTCCTCCGCTAACTCCCTTCTCCTCCACCTCCCCCTTCTGTTCTTTGCACCTCCTTTTTTGTCAAACCGCCCTTCTTCCCTGCTCTTTTGTGTGTGTGTGGTTTTTTTTTTTCTTCACTCTTCCCCTTCCCTTTCATTTTCTTCCCTCTCCCTATCTCCTCTTCCCCATGTCTCCTTTCCTATGTTCCTCTTTTTTTTCCCTTCATTTTCCTTTGGTATCTCCTCTTTTGTTTCCTCTCCTCTCCGGTTCCTTTCCTTCCCCCCTCTTCTTCCTTGTCAGTCTCTCTGATTTTATTTGACTACAGCTGGAAAGAATTTCCTCAAGAAAACTTTATTTCAAAAGTCCAGTTCTCACAGTAGTATCTTTCTTTGTCTCTTCCTCCTCCTCCTCTTTATCAGTTGTTAGTCCAACAGCGGTAGGTTTTAAGTTGCTGCAGCTCAGACGTTTAAACTAACACCTCCCTTCCTCCTTCTCCTCCATCCTCCTCTCAAACTCTGAAGGTCAGCAGCCGCTCGGCAGCAGCAGCCAAACGTCGGTAATGATTACCGATTTCATCAATTCTGCTGAAGCCGGGGAGAAGGTGAGGGTAGGAGGAGGGAGGGAAGGAGGGAGGGAGGTTATGGTGGAGCAGCTCCCCGGGTGATGACCAATCAGCATAACAAATAAATAAATAATTCAGACCTTGACCTTCAGTCCAGCTGAAACTGGGTAAAAAGGACAGTATAAAGAGCAGCAGCGGAGGCGGCGGCGGCTTCATGAGGATATCCATATGTAGCAGGATTCAGTTAGCGCTAAATAAAGCTAACGTAAATAAATACGCCTGACAACCCCGTAGTCTACTCCAGGCATGGGCAAACTTTGGCCTGTTCTGGCCCACCAAACCTGTCCAAATTATATTATAATTATGCGCCATCTATTTCCCCAATAGATGGCGCACTCCAGGTTTATTACTTTTTACTTGGAGGTTTTCATTTTGCCATTTTTTTTAACTTCCAACCCCTCAGTAAAAATGAGTTAAAGAAAAGAAAAGTGGACACTGAGTGCCGAGTGTTAAATAACGATGGACAACAAAATATTTTTTCGCGGAATTACGATCAACAGTTGTATGTCTGATATGCCAACAAACAGTCAATAAACTACGAGGAGTAGAAAAGGCTCAAAGCATTTATGTCTGGCTTTTACACCAACACTTCTCGTCTATCCATTCCTGGCCCGAGGAAAAGGCTCAAAGCATTTATGTCTGGCACTTCTCGTCTATCCATTCCTGGCACGAAAATATCACGTTTGTTATGTCAATCACAGTCACACTTACAGAACAAGTAAAGAAACAAACCAAATAAAAAAAATAAAAAAAATGTGAGGGTGATCATGACTCATATGTGAACGGCAGCGAGACTCAGAGGCAGTGGTGAATTTTTGAGGAAATCACCGCAACACCAACTCAGACAACAGCGGTTTTGTTGGCAATGATTATCATCCAAACGAAGACGAACCAAAACGAACAATAGGTCCACCTTTATCTGAACTCGGGCAGTATGCTAAAAAAAATAGACAATTAACTTGTCTATTTTTTCAGTATGCTAAAAAAAATAGACAATTAAGTTCAAGAAAACTAGTTTAAAGTTTAACTACAATTGCCAAACGTCGACCAAGAACATAAGAAAAAGCTAACATAAAAGCTAGAAATAGCTGAAAATCTTAAGCTCAAACGGAAAAAAGATGTTTGTTTATAAATGTTCTCGGACCAGATTTTGATACCGTCATTTATGCACATTCGAGAGAACTGCTACATGTACAGACTTTCCAGTGTTTTGTGTTCTGTTCACTCTGAGAAAAGGCTTGACTTAGGTCATGTAAAGTCAAATGACATGTCTGCTGATAGCACATAAATACGGAGAGACACGGCCAGAAAAGAAAACAGCCAGGAGGAGCGGGAGCAGCAGTGATAGAACAAAGAAGCGGAGAAATGACTTTCGTACAACACACACACACACAAAATCGAATGTCATAGAGTCCAACCACTTCGACCACTGACATTATAACAACTGATTTTGAGTTTTTGCGTATTCTTGGTGTTCTCAGGTAAAACACTGGAGAATGATTTATGGACTCCCCGCATCACAGTCCATAGAGAAACTAAATATTTTACCATCACAGCAGACACTGCAGTTGTAGTTCACCTGATGCCTCCATCACAACACGTTGAAATGTGTTATTTTTGTAGTTAGCCGTTTGCAATTCTTTGTTCAGATTGACCCCAGTGACTGACCACAGGAGGCAGCAGTGAGCATAAATCACTGACTTTCTCTGTGAATTTTGGTGTGGCTCCAGTTTCCCTATTTTCTACTATATGTCATATCATTAAGAACATAAGTTTCAAACCAAATCTACACCTTTCTTTAAATACCTTATTTTACTCATACTTTTCAGAGCCAACCTACATCTCAGTCTGGTTCCAGCTCTGTTCCAGTCACTGACCATATGTCGGTCCACTGAACTATCAGACATAAAAAATAGAACAAGACTTCAACATATTAAAAAAAAAAAACACAGAAAAGTTGAACACTTCTATTACTTTCGCGTTTAACCAGCCAAAACACAATTCAAGAAGTGGACACGCTCTCTCTCTACTCACACACACACACACACAAAGTGTCCATTTACCTGCTGCTTGTGCTGCTGAGTTAAATCTCCTCCAAGTGGATGTCGTTTGCCGCCAGCAGGTGTTCTCCCCTCCGACCTCTGGCCCTGGGGCGGCAGCAGCAACAGGAGGGCGATGGGGACGATGAAGATGTGGAAGATAAAGTTGAAGGACTCACTCCGTGCTCTCTTCTGTATGAGGAAACGGTTGTGTCGTCTCTTTTGTAACTAACTTCGGCACGGCGACGCCTTCCTCCAAAAAGAAAAGAAGGTCTTGTGTAAGAAAAATATTATCCATCAGCCTCTAACCATCTCCCACCCCTTCTGCCCGCCACTCTCTCACTTTTCAGACCAACAGCGTCACGGAGTTCTCAGCTGCAGCCACAAAAGTCGCCGCCGCCGCCGCTGCTCCCTGAACTAACGCTGAATCCATCTGTTGCAACACGTCTGCTTCTACACTTTCACTCCCACTGCTTCTGTGTGTTTGTGTGTACGTGAGAGGGAGAGGGAGATAGAGATATAGAGAATACAGAGAGAGAGAGAGGGAAAATAAGAGACAGGGAGGCGGAGAGGTAAAATGGGAGGGAGACAGAGCGAATGGGAGAAGAGGGAGGAGCCTGAGCCTCACCGTCAGCCAATGACAGGCTTCGAAGCCCTTTCACTCGGCCTGGACAGGACTCCAGAGAGGAGCGACAATTAAACACACTAAGTGGTTTTTATAAATTGTGAGCACATTCACGAGCCACTCTTCAACCCGTTTAACTCACCGTCTAACTATTTCAAAAGCGTGCCTCATCTTTATCCTTACTCTATCTTCTACCCGGTCTCTAATAACTCTAATTCTGACTATAAATACCTAATATCCTCTTTCTTAGTGAGGGTCTGAAAAATGTCCCTACAAGTATAGCTATACCTAGAACACACATACACACTTACGATAAACTCAATGTGTCAAACATATGGCCCGCTCGCCCCAAATTGGCCGGCTACGCAGTTCAATCTGGTCCAAATAATAAATACTTAATGTTTGATATGTTTTGTCAACTGATATGTCATTAAATATTAATTTTTTTTTATGATATACTTGTACTTGAAACAAATTAAACATGGCCGGTTAGCTCAGTTGGTTAGAGCGTTCGATCCCCATACGGGCCCCTGAACCAAAATAAGTTTAATTTCTGAAAAATATCCATATTTATATATTTGAATATCTTTGCTTTGTTACAGTTTCACCTTCATATTAGTTACACTAACTTTTAGTCATCCAGAACTATTAGTCATCCAGAACTAAAGTTCTGTTCAATAGGCTTCTATTTAATCCCCTTATTTATTTCTCTACAGTCATTCAAACCCTCTCTTGTTGTCATGACATCAAGAGCTGTGCCACGTCCCTGTAGCGTGATCAACATCAACATCACCATCACCCAGGCTGTGAGGGAATTTCTGGGCCACAGGGGGAAGGTGTCGGCTCCATTATCATCTTTTAGATTAGGTGGAAAATGCAAATCGAGCTGTAGAGTCACCGCAGCCTGTCTGGATCTAAGTCTTCATTGCTGAACTACATCAGGTCTCACTGTTGACAACTCAACATGGAGCTCAACAACTAGGACGAGGCAATCTAACCTCTGCTTCTGTGATTATGAGTACACAGGAAGGTACAGGAAGGACAAAAATACAGTGGTGTCCTTTGTCGCTGCACTACGTTGGTTACACCAGGAAAGCTTTAAAACGTGTTGGACACAACGTCCAGTGGAAAGTAATTTGGTTTTTTTTTGGGTTCAAGACTGGTCATTGTCAAGATCCAGGTGCTGTGCAGTGGGATTGAACGTTGCAGAGGCTGAATGGTGTGATTATATTAGGGTGTATAGACATGGACATGGACATGTTGGATGGCTATCCTCTGTCGGGCATGCTCCATAAAATACACTGTAGCCGTCTGCCTGGCTTTAATAGGAGCAATATATAATCTGCATGTGAGTATGATCTTGTTTTTTTTTTTCCTAAATGTAATATTCATTTAAACATAGCAATAGCAGCAACAGTCAATTGGGGAAAAAGTGACTGCTTTACTGATGACGGCTTCCCAGTTCTTCCTGAGGGTCCCTAGGGGAATAACACCACATTTAAGTACCTGGGAGTGTTTTTGCTCTCAAGAAATTGCAAGTGGATCGGAAAGGTGGACATAGAAAAACAAAATGTAAGGAAAGATTTTAAAATGGAAGTGACTATAACCCAACGTTTGACGCAAAACAGAGTCTTGGTAGGAAGCAACGTTTGACGCAAAACAGAGTCTTGGTAAGGAACAATCTTGTTGCGTCCCAACTGTAGCACCGGAAAAATCGTCTATGTGGCCCATACTTGCACATTTTCAGTACTGATCCAGTATCTTTTTTTATTGAAGTAAATTAGTAAACTCAAGTACATTTTTTTTTACAGTGTGGCCTGGTACCAAATCACCTACGGACCGTCACCCCTGGACCGGGGACTCCTGTATTAGAGCACCCCAGAGGGTCATGAATCTCCGGTCCCTGAGGCTAACAGAGTAAAACGGAAGCCTCCTTGTAGACTTTTTCCAAGAAGTTGAGCCCACCCTGATACAGAAATCCCATACTTTATATATTGCTCATTCTACAGTCCCTCACAATGATGTACTTATTAACATGGAAAAATGTAAAATATTTATTTTTGGGGGGGATTTTTGTCATTACTGTCCATCTTGACAATGTCTTGTAAACATGTTTGCTCTCAAAATGTCAACAATAGCTGACCATATTAATCCGCCTGCAGTCCTTCAGAATCATTTTTGGCATTTGTGTCAGTCAGCTTGTCAGCCCAAGACTCACTTATTGCCCTGTACTCCGTGAGGCTGGTCTGACGCAAGCGGGCCTCTGACCTACAGAGGAAGCGTCCACACACACACACATGGTTGTTGATTCAAGCTGAAATCTGTTTTCAACCGTGGCAAACAAAACTAAAAAAAAAAAAAAAAAAACCTTTAGTGTTTATGGAATAAACAGCAGGAAGAGAAGTTCAATATAAGAAGAAATGTAATAGACATCAATGAAAATCCTTCACTTTCACACAAACTAGCTTAAGAAACATAATGTGAACTAATGTCAACCCTATCAGTGCGATGTCTCTGAGGGTAGTCTATAATGAACTCCTCTGCAGCTGCTCCGACATCTGTTTGAATCCAGGAGATTATCAGCAGTAATGAGGCCGAGGTTGAACACCACACTGTCATTCTGTCACACGTTCAGGGGAATGATGGGCTTCTGCTTCAAACACAGTGGCGAGCGGAAAAAAGGATGGGAATCTACATCTACATAGACTATTAACATTTGTGACCTTGAAGCCTGTGGATAGCATTTGTAGCATGGATATACTCCTTTACCTGCCACGGGGTAATTATTATTATTATTTATTGCCCACGCACTGACTTCTCTGTTTTACTTGTAGATGTAATTTTTATTTACAGAGTTTCATTCCCAAAAAGTCACTTTGAGGAGCTGAATCGCCAAAACCATGAAGCCATAGCCTCACTGCAAAACATAAATCACCGAGCGGGTCAAGCAATCCAATTCCTGCAGTTGCTGCCTTTAGTTAGGAAACAGAATGTGGACGTAAATTCAGCAGTGTGTGGAGTGTTGATTTTCTCCAGGGGGGCTCCCGCGGGAGACTGCGGCCGTCAATACATTGACATGGAGACAAATGTCCCGATGACACGGCCCCACAATGCACTGCAGAGTCTGGGAAGGCTCAAAAGTCAGAAGGAGTTGACTGCTGCTGCTGCTGCACGAAGACGTTGCAAACAGCGCTACGCGTTTGGAGTTTCGGTCGAATGGATCAGCAGTTTGTAATAATCCTTTGCAAACAGCGCTACGCGTTTGGAGTTACGGTCGAATGGATCCGTGATCCTCACTGCAGTTTGTAATAATCCGTCCGCTATCCCAAACCAACGAGTCAGGAGAGAAAAGTGATGATTTTAGCTCATGGAGACACACTTGGTGTTATTGACTATTGAGCAGAAATGTCCCTGCAATCACTGCTACTGATTTCTTCATGAACTAAAGGGGGAGTCCGCGCTGTTTCATTCACAAAACATACAGATCAAAACGAGTTCATTCAAAGCAGTAATAAAAACTTGATTTTCTGTTAGGGACTGCTATTACCTGTCAGCTAGGGAAAAAAAACCACGTTGGGATAAAACCATTAACGCTATATTCAGAAATGATGATCTCAAAGCGATGTCGATTTTATAAAGGTAGTCTCTCGGCTGTCAGTGTGTGCAGCGGTGGACAACAAATTGAGATCAAGTGCTGCTGCAACACAGAGATGGAAACGAGTGCAGACAGACAGACAGACAGACAGACACACACGCAGTGAAACGGTGATGAATGACCGTGCTGCTTGGCCTGCTGGGTAATTCATTTCTCAACCTGAACAACACTTACTGTCAGCTTAAACAGGATTAATGGAGGACACACATACTCCCACACACACTTGGCTGCGGCCGCGGCCACACCGTGTCCATTTGGGACACTGAATTCCTGCGGCTTATAAAACAGGAAATGGTGTCATTAGGGAGCGTGCGGTAAAACCCCACCATCACAATGACATCACTTCTGGAGAACCAGTGAGGTTATTAGCCAACACCTTAAGACGCTGACAGACCTCATAAATATGGATTTTTTTTTTTTTTTTACTTTGGGGCTAAAATATCAGTATCTGACTGACAGACAGACTTTTAAGCAGGTAATCCCTGAACCTGCCATTCCAATATCCTTGGACAGATTGTTTAAGTCTGAACTTTCATTCATTATCTACAGCTTTTTTCCTTTTAGGGTCACGTAGGAGCCAATCCCAGCTATCAACGTATGAGGGCAGGTACAACCAGGACATTACAGGATCACATATAGAGACAAACAACCAATCACGCTCACATTAACACCCACCATTACAAACTCTCTACAGAAAGTGGGAACGGAAAGTCGCGTACCAACCGAGGATCCAACTTGGCCACCAATATCTGAGAGGTCTAAACAACACCACAAAATCAGGAACCACTGTGCCCTTGTCAGCTGAAACGGTTAATTCTAGGGATGTCCAATAAAATCGGCCCACCGATATTATTGGCTGATATTAGCTTAATTATGTAATATCGGATGAAGAATCATTTTTTCCTCTGATAATGAAAACCCAATAACGCAATTAAGTATTCCTCTGCCTTTAACCCAAACGGCTGCATATATC